CTGTTAATATAGGCACAGACTCATCTTCTTCTCTGCTACTGTATTTGTTGCACATTTTTGATACAAATAATCAGACAAAACTTGGAGCCTTCTGGGCTCCCTTTGCAATGAAAAGAAGCTGGGGAGAGGGCAGGCATTTCTCCTTATATATCCTATTCCACTCTTCTTGGAAACTCCTTTTGGGGAAGTCATTAGCTGAGCTGGAGTCCTCTTTGGCAACCAGGGATGACCAAGAGATGGTTGCTTTTCTGCAGATGATGGGGAGAAAGGAGGAACTTTTCTCCATTTCTGGGGTCATCTGACCCCGGGACCCCTTGGCCTCCTTCTTTGGGCCATGCTGCAGACAGCATCTCAACACGCAGACCCACTGAGCTTCACTTGCTGAACAGTATTTGTACTTTTTCAATTCCTCCCTCACACTTGGCCACAGTGGCATCTCCCTATCCCACATCTTCCTTCCTGCAGCCTCTTGAGCCATGTGAGACTGCTCAGACTGGAGCTTTTCTCTAATCGCTGGGGATATATAATTTTAAAAGACATTACCAGAATACCAAGTCTGTCCAGCCTATAAAAAAATCCATAGTTTGTCCTCCATATAAACAGGGGTGAAAACACTACACTTGTGCCTTTTACAACTGTCACAAACTCCTCTGGCACAGTGAAATAACTTACCGTGCAATAATTTCATTTTTGCTTTGCTCAGCATCCTCCAGGTCCTTAGGATCCATATGCCAACAACTCTCCTGAACACCTAAGTCCAACAAGTGCTCCAAGGCATCAGTAGACCTGGGCAGGAGTTGATATAGGAGTCCCTCTTTCTCTCTGAACATGCCAAAAAAAGGTTCCCTGCTTAAGGGCAACCCCATTTTTTCCTGCCCATATAACAATCCTGCAGCAGAAACCTTCTGGGCTGGGAGCACAGCCTCAAAATGTTCTCTCCACCCAGGAGTGCCAGGAGTCCTAAACAGACCTGCCCAGCCTCTGCTCTTGTTTGCTTCTTGTTGATCAAGGGCCCCAGGTGAATTATTTCTCCCACTCTTTGTTCTTTGACTTCAATTTTATTCAGGGACCTTCCATATATCACATACCCTTTTGCCAATGAATCTTTCTTGTTCCAACAGTTTAGTGTGCCCCAAGATCAATATATCTTAGCATGCAAGGACACGGTGTTATTGTCAGGTTCCTGGGTTGTACAAAGCAAAAAGTATCGCTTTCTTAAAGCTACTGAAAGATGCTCTGTGCCAAGTATGGTTATTCCTCTGCCATTAAAGCTCCATTCTAACTAGGAATGACTACTTCTAGTCATCATCAAAGGAGACCCAAACCCACAGCCCAGCCTCACCTTCCTTTAGTCTCATCTTGGACATCACAAACTGCAGTGCCCAGATCTGGACAAATCCCCATTCTTGTCATTTGTGGTGTAATTTTGAAATAGACCAAATGAACACCACAGGGTATCTTGGTTCGGCTGGGATTAGGTGACCTTTCCCCTCTTTGGATTATAGGTGGAGAGAAAGGGAAAAGTCATGTAAAGGTCCCCTTCCCCGAAGGTATGTGCTTGGCTCATCTCCCTGGTAGCATCGCTAACATCCACCCTGGCCCAGGACCATTGCATTTCTGCAGCTATTTACATTCCTCTGTCTTTGCTGAAGCTCTCATCCCTGCTTGCAAGGTCCAGGCTGGCCCAAGTTTTCCTGTTTTTCCCCCTTTCTCTGGAAAGGCTTCCGGCCCAACAGCCACGTGTTGGTGGCCACCCACGAGGTGCTTTGATCAGCTCAGATGGGCAGCGCTGTCAGGAGGCTTTGCAGTCCGCCCCAACGCTTCCACAGCTGCTGCAGCAGCAAGGTTTTCTCTCCAAGCCCCTGGCATTTCCTGGTGGTTTCAGGGCACCTTTCTGGTATTGCTTTTATTTCAGCTCCCACCTTAGATTCACTTAGTTTCAGCTCACTTTGCCTGACTTTGCTTTGTGAACACTGTCCTTGCTCCTTGCAAGGGATTTAATGGCAACCCAGAACCATGATTTCTCTCATGAACTGCGCCGATGACCACGGAGGTCAGAAAAATGCAAGAGGCAGTGGTTTATTTTTATTGCATTTCCAACGTTTTCAGATGATGCTTTGCTGTAGTCCCATCCACTTTAAAACAAAAATGCTTCCTGGGATGCTGTGTTTTTGCAAGACATTGATGGTCTGTGCTATGGTCCAGAGGCCTTCCTACCCCTCTCTGCTTCTCTGTCCTCAAGTTTGCCACATCCTTGGCTTTACTGGTCCTCCTCCTGCTCTCCTTCACAGGCCCTCCTTGCAGGCAATGCCAAGGGCTGGAGTTTGGGGTGGAGGCAGCTATTGTTCCAGCTATCTGCAGTGTAATGTTCCTTATGACTGTATTAAATGAAGGGCGGAGGTCACACATCCCTAGTTTAAATTAGGTTTAGGCTGACCTTTAACAATATTACACTCGTGGATCCTCTCATAACTCATGGAATAAACTCCCAAAGGGTTTTACCACCTCGCTCTTTCCTCCTACTGTAAGGATGCCCGAGGCTTAATGTGCTTCTCTCCAATTTCGCTTTGATTTTTAATCCTATCCCCTTTTCCCCCTTCTCCCCCCTCGCTCCCCCCACTACAGATACATTCACTCCTTTAAGGTGGGGGGAAAGAACCTGTTCCTTTTCTCTTCTGGGCGACAGCTCTTTCTTTTGTGTCTCTTTCTTCCCTTCCCCGCCCCCCTCCTCTTTCTTGACACAATGCACTATTTATTTGCACTGAAGGATAACTAAGAAGCAATTAAAAGATCAAAAGGCACAAACACAAGTAGATCCACTGGCAACTTGTGGGGTTTATTTTGCTGTAGCTGCTGCTGCTGAATCTTCACCAAACTGCTGCCGTGTTTTTCCCCCAGCCAGAGGACACCTCTCTTAGTGGGTCGCCTCTTCCTCCAAGTCGACTTTTTTACGATCGCTATTTTTCACCCCCATTGTTTGCTATTGCAGTTGTTTACTGGAAAATCACTTGTTTTTCTCAGGGAGATTAACCCTCCAAGCTTTCTTTTGTCTACTCTCAGGAGGTCCTTGTGGTGAGCTGGGGGAAGGGAGCTGGTCTCCTTCAGCTATTAACAGTAGCTTACAGCCCTGCTGACCCCCCTGCCAAGGCTGGGTCCTTTTCTTTGATGGGGTTCTGCTTTTGCAGTAAGGAAAGGTGGTTGCTCTTTGTTAAGACCACCTCTGCTGAGCGGTTTTTGAGAATGGTTTGTGAGGACCCACAACTGGGATTTACTAAGTCCTGGGCATCTAGGAGAAACTCCAAAAGCCTGAGATAAGCATCGATAGAGATGACCTTTTTTAGGAGAAGTCTGGAGCCCTAACACATGTCAGCAGATGCCCAGTCTCTTTGATGGTCAGGTCACTTATTTAGATGTTTAAATGTCAGTGTAGGAGCTGAGATTTGATGCCTGTGGTTGAGTTTGGTATGCATGGAACCACTTCCTCAGCATCACCACACTCTCTCTCAGGTGTGCCGACGCTTCGGTTGAAGCCCGCAGCCCTGACACCAGGACTGCTTGGTGTGATGTGCAGCGTCATATCGCAGAGGACAGCTCAGCGAACAGAAGGATGCTGGGGAGGAAAGGACGTCCAAAGCCTAGTGAGAAAGGATAAAAGTATAATCCTACCCACATTTTATCGTGCATATTTAGGGTAATTCTAACTGTTCGGAGACACACTGAGGCCCCCATCCTTGGGGGGGGGGGGGGAGTTGGAAAGTGCAAACTTGAAAAAAAAGAGAAAAAAAATAAGGAGTATTTATTGCATGCTGTGGTGAGGACTGCTGCATCCTTGCCCTTTCGCACCACTATCTATGGTAAACGCTGCCTGAGGTGGACCAGCCTGCTGCCCGGTCTCAGGTAGCTCTGCTCCTCTCTGCTCCAAGGAGGGTGCGTACCTGTGGCGCATCCTGGTACGAGCGCCCCTGCAGAGGGGCACCCACTGGGGCAGCGGTGAGGGTGAGGGCACCCGGGGGCTGCCCTTGGAAAGCCAGCGGGATCCCTTCCCCTGGGACAGGCTTGAAGGGCAGATCTTCGGGAGCAGGCGGGTGCCGGCCGATGCAGCACGGTGTGCCTGTCATGCAGCAGCGCGGAGCAGCGGGAGCGCGTTCTGCCCGCGCTGCTGCACAGGCACGGGAAAAGTCCCTTTGCCTTAAAGGCAGCGGTGCCCGCTTGCAGGAGCCGGCGGGAAGCAGAGGCGACCTAGAGCGAGGGAACCGCTGCGGGAAGGTGCTCTGCGAGGTGCAAAATCCGAATGCGGAGAGGAAGCGCCCATGTTGTCCACACGGACACGCACGGGTGGGTGCGGGGGCTCGCTGCTGCCGAGGCGGGGGCTCGCCTGCCCGCACTGGGGCGCGTAGGGTGGGACGGAGTTCCGGGGCAGGCACGGGAGCCGGGGCAGCCGGGCGGGAATGCCCGCGCCTTTGCCAGGGAGCTTTCCGGAGCAGTTCGGCGGCCGGCGCGGACACCTGTGCCCGTGCGCACCTCGGGAGACCTGAAAGAGGACGGGCTGGGCGATCTCCCCCCTCCTACCCCGCCAGGGCATGGGTCTCGCCGCCTCGCAGCGAGAGGCGCTCAAGGGGTGCCCCCCAGTATTCTGGACAGGGGCTTGGGGCGCGGACCACACACCTTCTCCCCCCACCTGCGGGGCTGCGGGGAGGCGGGGGATTCCCGCAGCCCACTTCCCACCTGGGGCCGGCACGGGGGTTCAAAGCCCCCACCCGGGGTAGCAGCCCGCAAAGAAACCGTGCGGCACAAACTTTCTGTCCCCTCTTCCCTCCCCGAGCTGGACTCCGGAGGATTACGAGGGAGAAGGAGGGAAGAAAGGGAGGGAGGGAGGGAAGAGAGGGGGTTAGACAGCTCTGCAACATTATTGGCTGCGTGGCCGGGCTGGTGCTCGCCGGCAGAGCATGCCCATTGGGGGGGTATAAAAGGGGGGCAGCCGGAGCGCCCTGCCTGTCTCCTCGCTCGTGGGGCAGCCAGCTGGGAGCAGCGGGCAGTGAGGCAGCCGGCTCCTCCGCCCCGGCCAGGGGGACGCACTCAGTAAACACAAAAGTGAGAGCCACTCAAGGGGCAGCCAAAGCAAGAGGAGAGAAAGAGAAGGGAAGAAAAAAAGGGTGAAAAAAAAAACCCAGGAAAAAAAAAAAAAGGAAAGGAAAGCGCTCGCTCGCTCTTTCTCTAGAATAACAAAATACCTGATCGTAACAAAATAACATCCTTCAGAAAAAATCCAGCAGGGACTTGACATACCAAAAAGGCAAGGCGAGGAGAACGTGCCAGGGCCCGGGGAAAGCGAGCCAAAGCCGCGATCGCTGCCAGGGCAGGAGAGCAGCATGTCAAGCGCCGGGGCACACACGGATGAGCGCTGCCGGCAGCCCGCCTTCCTTCCCGGCCCGCCGCTGCCGCAAGAAGTTGAGAGTAGCAGCGGCAGTGCCAAGGTAAGCGCCGCTCCGCGCTGCCCCTGCGCGGGCAGAGGGCGGTGGGATTCCCCGCGCCGTGCCGGGCAGAGCCGTGCCGTGCCGCTCAGTTCCATGCCGAGCCGAGCCGCGCACAGCCGTGCCATGCCGCGCCGTGCCATGCCATGCCGAGCCGCGCCGCCCCGGGCACAGCTGAACCATCCCGAGCCGCGCCGGGCAGAGCCGCGCCGGCCTCGCTGCCCGCCGTCCCCACGCGTGTCACTAGAGGGACCCCGAGCGCCGGCCCAGCCGCTGCTGGCGGGGCGGCCCCGCTGCGGTGGGGTGCGCGGGGCATCCCCGGGGGTCCCTCCCGCGGCCGCCCGCAGCCGGCGGCGGGGATGCTGCGGCGGGACCGCCCTGGCGCGGCGCGGAGCCGGCGCGGTCCCGCGTGGGGAGCGGCGGAGGGGGCGGCCGCGGCCGTGCGGGGGCCGGGCCGGGGCTATGCGAGGTCACGCAGCGCTGCGCGGCCCCCGGCTGCCCGTGGCGCTCCCTCCGCGCCGAGCGGCGGTGGGAGCGGGGGGACGCGCGGGGAGGGGACGGGCAGTTCCCCGGCTCCGGAGACTGGAGAGGTTATTAAACTCTCTTCTGCAAAACACTGCGGTGTGTTCGGTCTCGGAGGGATAAAAATACAGAGAGGAAAAACAAGAAAGCGAAGCCAAAATGGAGCGAGAATTAATGGTTGGCGTGCAACCTTCGACTTTCTGTGATTTTTTTCTTTTTTAAATTTTTTCTTCTGCTTCCCTCCCAATTGCTTTTCCCTGCAGTAATTGTTTTAAGAGCGCAACTTGGAAAGGTTTTAGCACTCTGAGCAGTAGGGAATTGGGGCACATGAGGGAACTCGGATTTAGCGTAACTGTACCAGCAGATGTGTCTGCCTCGCCTCCAGCCACGGGTACTTCAGCAGGGTTGCTGATACGCCAGGTCTCTCTCGGGTGGTGTGGAGCAATCAAGTGTAAAAACAAGGTTTGTGTGGGTGGTTTTAAACAGACACCTCGGGAGAGCCGCTGCTTTCAACCCAGTCTTCCTATGCAAAGTCTGTTGTTTTCTTCCCAATGCCGGGATGTGCTTGGGAGGCCGAGGCCCGTTTTTCTTTGGGTTTGCTTATTGTCAGGTTGTGCGTGTAGGGGGTGGGGAGGGGTGAAGCGTGTTGGGTTTCTTTATTTGGGTTTCTTGTCTTGATTTAGAGTGGAGTTGAGGAGCCTGGGTCATGGGGTTTTGTGAGGGTGACTTTGTGCTAAGGACATCTGGAGGTATAAAACTGACTGACACTTCTGATTTGAGCTCCTCTGTGCTGTTTTGGACCCAACTTGACAATTTTGGTGGGGGTGAATGGGTCAGAGCTGTAAATCTTGCTCCATGTTGTTGACACCCACACAAGTTCACTCAGCCTTTCAAAAGGGGCTATCCCAGCTCCTGTGAAAATTCATTAAGGGATAAAAGATTTGACACCGCAGGTCCCCTCCTACCACCGCATGAAATTTGAGAGCCAAAATGTGTCTGTGTGTGTGTCCCAGCGCTTTTTTCCTGACAGGTGATCTTTTTTTCAGCCTGGCTGGAGGACTGCTGCTTTGAGCAGTCAACCTGGAGTTGTCAGTGCGTGTCTTCCCCTTGATTCCTCTAGGCTTCAGCATGAGCCCAGCTTGCCTCATGGAGCACCAGAGAAAAGCATTTCTGTACTTTTCTTTTTTTAAATAAAGCAAACACAGCAGGTGAGGTCTTATTTTTAGAGGGACCGAGGAGTTGGTGTGTTTCCAGCAATGCATACGAGCACTGTAAGTGGCCCACCCTCTCCGAGCTCGTGTCCTGGGACTGACCTCTCCGATCCTTCTTTGGATTGTCTTTGCTTTTAAAAGCTGATGAGTGTCTTAGCAGGGCAAAGTGATATCGGCCTCCCTAAGCACGTTTGTCTGAGGGGTCACGAGAGGTGGGGGGCACAGGGGGAAGAAATCTGCCTTGGCACTGCAGCCCAGCTCTGAAAGGGTTAAAGTTGTCCTGCCAAGATATAAAGCAAGTTCAACGTGTTGTGGGAATATCACTTGCCAGTAGACTCCAGTCACCCGATTTCTGATTTAACAGCTTAACTTGCTGTTAACTTTCCCTGATATACTCCAGGTTCTGGAAGAGAATGCAGAAAGGAGAGAGGAACAATAAAGAAAGGAGTTAAGTGAGGCTACGAAAACGAACTTAAATCCCTTCACTGGGTCCTGCCAGCTGTCTTTAGAAGCGTTAAGCAAGATTGCATTTCCTTTTTTTTATACAATAAATCAAATGTTTCTGGGCTGCATACCAAAATTTGTGCAATACACTCTTACTCCCCAGTGGGGTGAGTAAATGGTACTGAATACCCCATTCACCTTTTTCAGCTTGATTTTTCCACAGTCATGGTAGTTCTCGCTGTAACATGTATAGACGTGGGGTGTGGGCAGCACTCCCCTGCCTGCCTCAGCCTCTGTCCTGCAGGCAGAGGAGACAGGTGACTCTCCTGTCTCACAGGATGGGAAGAAGAAAGGTGACCCCAGGTGTGGGGCAGAGTGGGCTGCTGATGGGGATGAGCAATGAAGACAAAAAAAGTGAGTGCTAAAAATAGCAGCAGTATTGCCATCCTCAGCCACATGAATGTCATGCAAGCCAGGTTGTTTCTTTCTTTTCTTCAAGCTTGAGCTAAACAACAAAACCGCTGGTTCCAGGTTGGTTTTATTCATCTGACAGCTCTGGTTAAAAGTTTTGTGTTTTGAAACTTGCTTCTTTCAGGCTGTGGAAATCTCCTCATTTCTCTTTTAGATGAAGAGGGAGGCCCTTCTGTGGCACAGCATGAGGTGGCTTCTCTCCCTTCAGGTCCTGCTGGGCACCTCATCCTTGTGCCTCTGCCCAAGATGCAGCTCCTGGGTGGTTTTCAGCTGCCAAGGCACCTGCCTCTCCCACTGGTCTCCACTGTTCCTTTGCTGTTTGGTACCTCAGGGCGTCATGGCCTGGCACTCCATGCGAGGTTGGGTTGCCCCATGGGTATTCACTTGGGGTGGCATTCACTTGGCATGTGTGAGTTTGGCATCCTGCCCCTTCAGGATTGTTGTGCTCAAAACCGGGTCAGCTCCCTACTCTCCTGGGGCAGAGAGGCAGATGTTCAGCATCTCTCACAGGCAATCATGTGAGTAGCAAAACATCAGTCTGCTCACTTTTTTTTGGAGGAGAGGTGGAGTGTGAAGGATGCTGGGATGTGCAAACTGGGGTTTTTCCCTCTGGCACACACAGCTGGGTTTGGGCTGGTGACTTTTTGCTGTGCTCCCTTTTAAATGCTGCAGTGCTCCACAAAGAAATGAGGGGGGTTTTTTTCTGTCCAAATCCAAATTTTACAGACTGGGCCATCTGTCAATTCCCTCCTACGTTGTTCTGTTCATATTAAATTGCAATGAAGGCCAGACTGAAGAAGGAATTAGGTCAGACAGGAGGTTTAGTCTCCATTTTTGGGGAGGTGTTTGTTGCCCAAGAGGCACTGTGGTTTGATTTGCTCAGAACAAGCCTGGATGTAAGGGATGCCTGAGCTGTTCTCTGAGATTTGGCAACTGGACCTTCTAGTGCATTGTGGCCTCTTGGCCCCTCACTCCCCAGCAGCTGGACAGTAATTGCCGATCCAGCTGATTCTGGAGCAGATTCTGAAATATCTTATAATGGTCCCAGGTGGGAGGGCTATTCCACTGCAGACCTGCCCTCAGTCTCACTCCTGGCACACCACAGCCACTTGTAGAAGATGCTTTCTGTTGGACCTCTCTGCTGGATGGGTACAGCAGTGAGGCAGGAATACACAGGAGTTCCAAGGCAGCGGCAGCATCCTGCATATGGCATCTCATGGCTAAGCTGATTCTAGTGGCAGCCTGGCCTTGTGTAGGGTCCTGGGAATGCAGAGGAATGCAGGAGAGCGACATGGAGAGCAAAGCAGACCCTCCCTGGGAAAGAGAGGCCAGCAGTGTGTGCTGATGTCCTGTCTGAGCCTCTTCTGCACTGAATATGCTGCTCTCAGATGCAGGTTATTCAGAGGAACTTCAGATGTGATTCCTAGGATGGTACACAGGGTACCTGTGCAACCAAAAAAATTCCTCTTGCATCACTCTCTTGCACGCTGTATGGGGTCCAAGCCTTTGTTAGAAGGAATTTGGTGCTCACGTTATTGAGCATCCAGCATGCCTAGCACTGCTATTCCCACTACATCCTAAAGCCTTTGAGCTCTCCCTGGGCACATGAGGAGGAACAGCAGCCAGCATGGCTGGTTCAACCCACGCTGGCAAGAAGGGAACTGTGGTGGCTGTAGTCTCTCTCCTAGCAGAGACAGGACCTTGTTCTTTAGGGAAGTGGCCCACTTCCCTCTCTATGCCTTGTTCCTGTTCCATGTCATGTAAGAGAGGCTTTCTAATAAAATCTGAAGGTATTTTCAGCCATTGGTGTGAATTTACTCCTGTCCCACAGCTGAGGAGACTGTGCCTGTCCTAACGCTTGGACTAGAAACCAAGAGCTCTGCTGTCCCATATTTTCAGTGGAGAATGGAGTCTTGGAGGTGTTCAGAGGGCTTCGACTCATCATACTGAGCAGGATTTGGCCATGAAAACTGAGGCCCCATGCAACCTGTGCAGCTGGTCACGGGCTGCAGGTACCCAGCTGTGCCACGGCACCCTGTTTGGGGAAGTAGCACCTGCTCCAGCAGCCATGGCAAGGCAGGTTCAAGCTCTCCTGCCTGAGTGCTGCTCATTCCTGCTAGGAGAGGCATGTGAGGGTGGGAAGGATCAACTGAAAAGTCACCGGGGCATGAGCCGGTGATGGCACTCTGGGAGCCTGTCTAGCCTTTGCAGGGACTTTTCCTCAGAAGAGGTAGTAGGGCTAAGGTGAGAGGGAAGGGCTTACAGTTTGGGTTGGATTGTGTCTCCATCAAACTGGAGAGAAACTGCAGCACTGGGTAGCAGATAAAGATGCTTTTTGCTTTGCTGCCTGGTTTCTCATTACACGGTTGCTGGAGGGAGTAGGGAGATGCCAAGGTAATGGCAGTGGAAAGGGCTGGCAGTTGGTTCATGGGCAAAGGTGGACTTGATTGCATTTCACCCCTCCAGGTTAGCCGTGATTCGGATGACAGCACTGGGGCTGTCCCTGTCCTAGCGGCTTCAGGAGTGTTTCCTGGATGGAGTTATGGGGTGTGTGGCCACCCAAAAAGAGCTTGCAATGGAGGCAGGGAAAGCTGCCAGAGGCTGCCTTATGCTTGTGGCGCGAGTTGTGCAGGAGCGGGTATTTTCCGAGGAGCATGAGTGTTTTTCCACAGAAGGTATCAGGTCTCCCCAGCATCAGATATCGCCCCGCTGACAAAATCTCGCTCTCTCTTTGCTTTTCAGAGCATCTCACCCCTTTCTTTAGACTGAATGTGGAGGAAAAACAGGGTTTGTCACCTGTGCCACCAAGCACCCCCTTCTTGGAGGGGTTGGCTTTGGCTTGGCCTGCTCATTAGCCAGCATTAGCCTAATTGGGGATGGGGGATTACGTAGGTGTCCTGAAGTCCCCCATCAGTGCCTTCAATGGCAGTACTGGGTGGCACATATCTGTCACCTTGGCAATGAGCTGCTGGCACTACCCAAGCCCTGGGGACACCAGCAAACAGGAGATGCATGTAAAAAAAGAGGAAAAGGGGGGAAAAAAAGGGAAGGGAGCAGGATCGTTGGTCTTTTGTCAGTTGGGGATCTGACTGATGATGATGCTGCACCAGAGGCATGACTTCAGCAGTGGAGGTGATGCTGTGGTCATGTTGGAGAGGCCCAGTAAACACCTGTTGGCCACTGGATAAAAAAAAAACTCAAGGTGAAAAGGTATGGGTGGCAAAACACTGCAGATTGGCAGCATGGTGTCACAGCCTGGTGCCATCCCTCTGCTCCTACTTTAATACAGAACAAAGCCCCCGCAGTATGCCGAAGGGATCATTGCTACTGGAAAAGCTCATCCTGGTTCTCATCACTTGCTGGTTTGAGACCAGTTTGTGCCCAGGGCTGTTGCCTCTCTTGTTGAGAGCCCAGGAGGGCTTTTGTCAGCTTTGCTGGTCTCTGCCAGCACAGGCTGAGCAATACTATGAGCATCAACATTCAAGCAGGGCGGATGCCCCCCACAGCCCATCCAGACCTTGCAACTTCTTGGCTTTTCTTGCTGCTGGTCCCTGTCCTCCCACTGCTCAGTAGAGCCTGCGACTTGCAAGCATGATGCATTTCTAGCAGCAAGGATTCAAACTATGTGCTAGTAAAAATTCGGTAGCAAGGGTGTCTTTATTGCTGGCAGGACTGTAGCAGGGCCTCGGGGGAGCTGGGCTAATTTCCTGGCTGCGCTGCAGACTTCCCCTGTGACCTTGGGCGAGTCATTTAATCTATCCTGGGCTTCAGCTCCATCTCTGAGCATCCCAGGAGGGTGAGGTAATATTCATTAACTGATGTTATTCTCGAGTTGCTCAGATGCTATGGTGATGATAGCTGGATGTGAAACCCAGCATCTTGGTTGAATGCTAGCAAGAGAGGGGATGCTCTGCTTAAGATTAGGGTTGCCACACACCGTCTGCTATTTTGACACACTTATCCTCTTCATTTTGAGCTGACCTGTCTGGTCACCAGTGTTATTTGGCTGTGTATATACCGTGAGGCTCATCATTGAGGGGCTATAATACCTTGAATAATCCATGGGTTTTGTCCCATCCAGTGAGGCAATAACAGCCTTGTTTTACACTTACAGAAGCTGACACAGAGGTAAAGCTGGTTGCTGGAGTGGAGCCAGGGGAAATCTTTGGGCTAGTTAGCAAATATCCATGGAGTTTCTTTTTTAGTGCTCTGCACTGTCTGATACTGCCTTGGTCCTCCTTGGTGATGCTGCAAGTGTGTTTCCCATGGTACTGCATTTTTCCTGAGGGATGTCTTCTCAGTCCCAACTCTTGTCAGCAAACACGGCTTGTGCAATCAGCCCCTTGATTGTCCGAGCCTCCCATGCCCAGGACAAAGGCTGTTGTTCCCAGCTTTCCTCAAAAGCAGCTCTAGGACAGGTTGAAACTTCACTTGTTTCTGCTTTGGAGGGACATGTTTTCAGGTATGGCCTGAAAACCTGTCATCAGAAGAGGAAAAAAAACACCCTACTGATAATAATTTGAATGAATTCCCATGTAAAGGGGGGGAAAAATAAAAAAAAATCATGCTGTTGAAAGAGCAGAGGGAATAAAAGCCTTTTAGACGTAGGTTGAAGTGGGATTTTCCAATGGAAAAACTGCTTCAATGCAAACCTTGTCTGACCGAGCGGCTGCCCGGCAGGCCGAGTGCCGGGAGCCGGCCTCACACCAGCGGCCGTCGCAGTGCTGCCGGTCCTTCCCTGCAGCATCTTGACATGCCCGGGCATCAAACCCCCAGCATGCTGTGGGCGGGGGGCATTGCCTGGGGGAGGTGGCGGAGAGGGATCTGTCTTGCAGTGTTAATGCTGTGCCTCTGTCCCCAGGTGCAGAGGATGTGTGCGGCGAGGCGGATGCTGCTGCTGCTGCTGGCTTTCCTGGCCTACGCACTGGATTCAGCGGCTGCGTACGGCACGGCGGAGACCCTCTGTGGTGGGGAGCTGGTGGACACACTGCAATTCGTCTGCGGGGACAGGGGCTTCTATTTCAGTAAGTGCTGGGCAGCTGCCAGCAGCAGGCAGGATGCTGCCCCCATCCCACACCCTGCTTAAGTGGAGCCAGGCCAAGAGGGAAAGGAGGGATTTCCCAGCCTGGTGCTTTTCATGATTTCCTTATACGTGGCAGTAGGCCAGGAGAAGAGCAAGAAAATGGACATGTTCAGGGTGACATAAACCCACCTCACGTCAATTTTGGGCATGGTCTTGTACCATGGGGAAACTGGGTCCCACATATGCTCGGGGAAGTTGAATATCACTGGGGAACCTTATGTGGCTGGCTCAACAGTCATGTGGGCAAGTCATTACAATAGCAAAGATGTCTGCAGCCAGCTCTCTGCTGAGCTTGGGTCCTGGCTTATTCTGAAACGTTGCTGCCTAAGTGCTGCATCTGACAGCAGGCAGGGAGCTGAGCACTCATTCTTGGACAGGCTTTGCTTTGGTACAGCAGCACCTTCTATGCTGCTCTCAAAACGCACTTCATGACCTCCTAACTACCTGATGGTAAACTTGTTGCTGAAGAGTGATGTCTTATCCTTTTGCAGTGCAGCTAGTGCAGAAAAAAAAAAATTGCAGCATTGCTGTTGTCTGCAGAGTGCAGATGGCTTCAGGCCAGTTGGCTGCAGCAGGCTTTCCACCAGGATGCTTTGGGTGTTTGGACCATTGGCATTAGCATTACAATGGCTTAGCTGGTAAACGGGAAGGATGAGGAGTAAACCAGTAGCAATGGATGCTGAGTGATCTATGGGCAAAGGTGCCTCGAGTGTGATACCTTGTTGGTTCAGTCCTCTGCTCTGCTCGGGAGAGGGAAGACCCTGTGTTTTGCTCCCCACTGAGGACTGAACCACAGACTGACTACAGGAAAGATGCAAAGCCAAATGGGGGGGAAGAGGATACCAGCTGCACATGGTGCCATGTATTTGGCAGTCTTGCCTCTGCCTTGTAAAAAGATGTTAAAAAGTTACTTTCAAGTAATGGGGTGGGGTTTTTTTGAGTACTGGAGTTGAGAGCCAGCCTCTCTCTTATTCCAGTCTGCCTATGCAGGGAACAGGTTGCTGCAAAGTTGGAAGATGACTCTGGATGTCCCTTTGCAACGTGGGTGCTTTGCCAGACTTGACTGGTGCTGTCTGCTGAGGTTGGGCAGGGAGAGGTGCAGGGATCCCATACCCAGCCACAGCGGAGTTCAGGCTGTGTAATTCCTGGTAGGTGGTTGGACTGCAGATGGCTTTAGAACTAGCTGGGGCAATCACCCTGCCCCATCATGACTTAGCAGAAAGGTGTTTTCATGGCTCCCTGGCTGTTGTGGGCAGGCAGCACTTTTGGGGTGCTCTGGATGCATTTCCCTCTTCTGACTGATCCAAGTGGTGGGGGTTTGCATATCAGCTGCCCTTCCTCTTCCAGCTTTCCTCTGCCAATGAGCCCTGTGCCGGCACTCAGCCAGGGTGGCAACTCTGGGTCTGGCCTTACCGGCACAGCAAGGAGGCAAGCTCCTCTCCCGCTCTCTTAGCTCTTCCTCTCCCTCTAGATATAGAGGAGCATCCGTCTTCCTCCCATGGTTTCTTTTCCCTCCTCCCCCTCTCTGGGGATGAAAGGGAACGGGGCTTTTGTTTTAAGGTCAAACTGACCTCCTTTCACCTCAAATAACCCAGCTGCCCAGGCCAAAATAAAACCACTTTTGAAGGGAGACAAGTCTCTTGGTGCCAAGTGGCCATTCTGGTGCTTGCAAGGGGATTCTTGGCTTTTTTTTTTTGTCCTCTCCTGTCTCTCCCCCATTCACCTTTATGAATGTTTCTAGAGAGCCCAGGTGCTGGGGATAAAGCAAAGTTCCCCCAGTCCAACACTTTAACCCCTTCAGCATCTGACCAACTTGTGCCATGCAGGGCTGAAGACATTTGGGCAATACCTCTACTTGATGAAGGGTTTTGTACATCCCCTTTTCATTTAATTTTTCACCTTCTACCTCCATCAGTTGGCCTCATAAGTGATTAATTCTCCTGATCACATTCATCTTAACTCCTAAACCCATGTGTCACTGTGTAGATGCGATAGGGCACAGTTATGTTGCACAATTGTGGGGTTTACATCTTAAAGCTGAGCACCTCACAGCATGGGATGTATGACCTGATGAGCAGCCTGTGCTAATGCAGTCATTCATATGGGAAGTAAATGACTTGCGCAGCCTTGTCCCAGGGGTACACAAGGATCCTGCTTGCTGAACAAGGGTTGTTGAAGCATCTGACTGGTAATGTTGGAAAAAAACAAAAAATGGTATGAAAATCCGTTAGTGGTTTTTTTGCTGCAGCACTTATTTAAGTACTTCTGATGCTCTGCATTCGTAAAAGTGAGCACTTTGCTAGCAAAGGTAGCTCTGAAATACAACACTCTTTGCACAGATGCAAGGGGATGCAGTGTACTGACGGTGTTTCATCCCCCAGGCATCTGAAGCTGGGGAAATATGCAACCTAGACTGAGCAGGGTGCACCCCTGATAACTGGAATGCCTGTCTGTCCACTGGCATGAGGAGCGAGTTCCAGCCCTCAGGTACCCTGGGAAGGAAGCATTGTGGCGTGCAGGTGCTTGAGGCTGAGGATGTTGAAGCTGCCTCCAAGAGTTGGGGCTGCAAAAGAGCTGGACTAACAGGGGCAGGAGCCAGCACACTTTGTTCTCCTCTAGTGATGCCTCATCTCAGTGACTTTTAAGGCTTTTGGGTTGGCCTGCAGCTGCTGTCAAGGTGGTGGCTTCCTGCTGTGGCTCTCTGGCAGGGTTGGAACCACTCTCCCTGCTCCCCAGCACTCACCCAGGGACAGCGGCACAGCCCATGGAGGAATTCTGAGTGCAGCCCAGAGTGAAAATGCAGGGTAGACTGAGAGGAAGCCTCGGCCGTGAAGTGCTGTCATGCAGTGCTAGCAGGGAGGGAGAAGGGGCTGTAGGGGGAGAGGCAGCCGACTTCTCTGTAAACAACAGCTCCTGTTTCCTCCTTTCCAACAGCTGATAAGAATTTAGCTCTTTGCAGCCGCTTGTGCTGACGGGGCACATTCTTGCGCACCCGCCGCTCCTCCGAATAATACTAGGAAAAAGCAGGGGGGAAAGTGCGGTGCCGGGGTGGGGGAGGGCCAGGCTGGGGGCACTGGGACGGGGCCCGGTGCTGCACAAAGGCCCCCTTGTTGCTCCCAACATTCCTGCGACAGGGGCACGGGGACTGTTTACACCCAAAGTCCCCTTCCACTCGGCTGACCGCCTGATTGACCGGAGGAAAGGGGACCCAGCCAGGGTGGCACCAGCACAGTGCACCCCTCCCCGCAGCATCTGTCCCACTCTGGTGAGAGTGGGGAGCCCAGAGCAGTGGGGTGTTGATGCTAGGGAACGGACCCTCCTGTCCCCCGTGGCCATGGCAGTTTCACTGCCTCTGGCACAGTGGCATAACTGAGCTGCAGGTATGTGGTCTCTCTGGGTTTGGCTCTGTACTTTTTCTGGGATGCCCAGCCCTCCCTGTCGGGATAGCCCACTGCTAGGCTGCAATAACCCCAGGCAGCAGAAGGGCTTTGCACTACCGGGCTTTGCATCACTGGACTTTGCATCTCTGGGCTCATACCCTCAGCAGTGCTGTAGGAAGTTTTGGTGAAGCACAGTTTTGGGAAAAAGAGCCTAGCCATTCATTGAAGGCCCAGAGGAAGCGTGTTTCCTCAGGAGGAAGTGGTCATTGCTGCGATGGGAAGTGGCTCGCGTGCCCGAGCGGTGCCGCAGCCCGCTGCCCACACAATTCTCCCCTGCGGGTAAGAGACAGAGTGGCAAAACCTTCCTTGGGTTTGGCAGTGGCAGTAAAGTGAGATGCCACCCATGACCAAAAGCCAGGAAATTTAACCTTTAGTCCCTGTGTAAATTGTTACGGAACAAACACTTTTCCCAATCCAGGTCAGCAGCGATATTGCTGTTAGCCAGCAATGTCCTGGTGTTTCTTCCCTGGGTTGTTGTCTTCAGGTACTTTCTGTGACTACATCCTTGTTTGCTATGTTTGCTTATTTTTTTTCCTAAAGTAACTCTCCCACAGAGGATTGTATTGGCATTTGGCAAGATCCGTATGGACAATTATGTAATGGGAAATGTGTCCTATCAGACAGTCGTGGTGGACCTGGCAGTGGTGCCAGCAAGGGGAAGGGCGTGCAGCAGCTTTATGGAAGAGAGAAAGGGCAGCACATTTGGGGCTGGGGGCCACACTTGTGCCCACTGGCTGGGCAGGCGCAGTAGTCAGGGAGGAAAAGGCCGTAGCAGCGCAGTTGGTCCCTGCTGGGAGCTCACCCTGATGGTGCTACACCTGGGCATTTGCTAACACATGGTGACATGATCTTCTCATGCGTACCCATGCCACAAATTGCCCTGGGTGGCGTGGCAGTGAATATAGTCCCGCTTTCCTTATTGCTTTTTTTCCTCCTCTCTTCTTTCCAAACAAACACATAGCTGCAAGTGGGAAACTTCTGTTTTTGAGAGGAGACATGTAACCTTTCAAAACCTCAACTTCTCCTCAAATCGTGTGTGTCATCACTTGTGCAACCTTCTGTTCAGCGGGAGTGTGAATGCAGCCCTCTGGGGACGTGCTAGCAAGGGGGGGTGACTTGAATTTTTTTCTCTTTCCCTTCCAAACTCTCCTTCTGCCCGTGCTCACGATGCCTTTCTGGAGCAGCCTAATGCTTCAGGAACCTGCCATGCCTACAAGTTGGGCACTGGGATTGATAGGTGCTGAGCAGGGACCGTAAGCAGTGCAGGGTGTTGGTGCAGCGCAACCTCTTCCATGGACCTCACTGGACATTGCATGCATAGAGGAGAATGCAGCTGCCCCCAAGCTGGCTCCTCTCCCCTGCCTTCTTTGGGCATCACCACCCAGGTTGCCTACACTGGCATTGCTTGTGCAGCTGCGGGCACCCAACACACCTGCCCTGCCTCTAAAGAGAGGTCCCAATCCAGTGTGCTTTTTGGACACAAGTATTTATATAGAGAAAATTAAACTACTAACAGTGTTCTCTTTGCTGAACCTTTACCAAGAGTGAACCATCCTTCTCACCTTCCTGTGGGGCTGGTTTAAGGTTGTACCTGTAATTTTTCTAGAGAAAAAGAAAAAGAAAAAAGACAGATGGTGGCACTTGGGGGACAAACGTGGAAAATAGAGCGTTTAAAATGACTCCCAAAGGTGGGTCTCATGGTATGAGTCAGCTGCCCCATCACCCTGGTGCCATGCTTGTTATTGTGACCTCTGAGCATGGTGGCAATGCACCAGCATAGAGCAGAGGGCTCCATGATACGGGGTCACAACCAGTTTTAGCAGAGGGTGGGTGCCCTGCTGCCAGGGCTTTTCCAGAGTCAGCAGTGAGGCATGGTCGTGGGGTTTTGCATGTCAGCATTGCACACACGGGGCTGCGTTGTGCATGGAGAGTTGTGTTGTATATGCATGTCTGCGTTGCACACACGGGGCTGCATTGAATGGACAGGGCTGCATCCCACATGCATATCTGCATTGCACATCTGGGGCTACTTGTCACATGTGGGGTTGCACAGTATGCATAGATAACTCCTGTGCTTTGCACTTTGTCCCGAGGCACTTTGGGTGGGCACCGAGGGTGGGGTACACCCCAGGGAAAGTGGTCAGCTCCTTCTAAGCCAGGATCCTTAAATCTTCACCAAGGCCTAATACTTGAGTGCCTGCTTCCTCTGGAGTACAAGTGGGGGCATCATGGGTCATGCACAGGGCCAATATGGACCATTTTGTGTGTTCCTGCAGGCCAGCTGAGGTGTGGAGGTTTGGCATGGCGTGGTGAGCACTGATAGGCATTGCACTTACACAACTTGCTCTCTTAAATTCTCCTGGTTTCCAAGCCCCACTGGTGCTTGCCTCTGCTTCCCTTGCTCAGAGCACCTTGTGCTGGGAAGAGGCAGTGTGTAGAACCTTGACTGCAGACCCTACAACAGCACGAAAGCACAATATGCTGTGTGCAAAACCATGAAGAAAATAGTTTTGTTTACATTTTGGAAGTCACAATTCCCAAGCAAATTTGCTTTGCATCAGAAATCCAAATTTACCCATCTCTTTTATTTCAAGAGCGGGAGGAAAACAGTGAAAGTGATGTAAGCTTTTCCTTTGGAGTGCTTTGGTCATCGTGAAGCTGTTATATGAAATGCACTTGGTCGTTGCTGCACCAGACATGGGCTTTTGCATCCTTCTGCAGGCAGAAACGGGAGAGGAACACTTATTAAAAGATTAAGTTTAATAGCTATTCTTGGCGGGTGTGGGAGCCTGTATTCTTTCTGCAGCTGTCTTAGAGCTGTCCCATCTGGTAAAATTTAGCCGCCTTGGTTCGCTTCACCTACCTGAGTGTTGACCCGACAGAGGGAGGTTGGCAGCTGCAATGCTGTGCTGCTTCTTTTTAATAAAATCCACTTGCCAGGATCAACATCTAAGACAGTCACAGTAATCAGCACAGAGCTGGCGGTCAGGCTGGGCTTGAGCTTCCTTGCCTTAGCTGCGCTCAAAAAGTCCACCCATGCCAGAGATATAGGAGGGAGATAAATCCCCATCATTCAAAGTGCCTTTAAACTACAACTGGAGGCACATGGGGAGCCTGTTGGCATCAATAACATTTGTCTGGGAAAGTCTTAACATGAAACTTGGCTGGTTTGAGGGTGCGTGTCAGCTGGTTTGGGAGAAGCGCTGCTATTTTTGAAGCACGTAGAACCCACCAGTCTCTGGTGGTTGGTGGAGGGATGCTTGCAAGGGGATAGGTGCTATGGAGGTAGGGAGAGGGTCCTGTCCAGGTTGGTGGATAACGCAAGGGTCTCTGCTGTTGCAGGTAGACCGGTGGGACGAAATAACCGGCGGATCAATCGGGGGATTGTGGAGGAGTGCTGCTTTCGGAGCTGTGACCTGGCTCTGCTGGAAACATACTGCGCCAAGTCCGTCAAGTCGGAGCGTGACCTCTCCGCCACCTCCCTGTCAGGCCTGCCAGCCCTCGGCAAGGTAGGGAGGCTGTGCCGGGATGATGGCCCTTCTCTGAAATAAATAGCGAGAGAAAAGATCGGAAGGCCGTGAGTGGGAGAGGACAAACCCCAGCTGCAAGCTCTGTTGCTTCTGCAGAGCCTTTGGGAGACAGCCACCATTGGCAAGTCATGCCAAATAGCCTGCCAAAAGATAGCTTTTATTAAAGTGGGGGACCAGAGGTGGGCTAGGTCACAATCATAGAACGGTTGTGGTTGGAAGTGACCTTTAAAGGTCATCTAGTGCAACTGCCCTGCAATAAGCAGTGACATCTTCAACTAGATCAGGTTGCTCAGAGCCCCATCCAACCTGACTGTTACTGTTTCCTGGGATGGGGCAATGTTTCCATGGGATGGATGGAAGTCCAAGAGGGGAACCACCCTCTGGAGTGCAAGCAGGCGTAAGCAGAGGCTAATATTGCTGTCCCTCTCCTTGCAGGAGAGCTTCCAGAAGCCCTCGCATGCCAAATACTCCAAGTATGACGTGTGGCAGAAGAAGAGCTCCCAGCGGCTGCAGCGGGAAGTGCCCAGCATCCTGCGGGCTCGCCAGTACCGGTGGCAGGCTGAGGGGCTGCAAGCGGCTGAGGAAGCCAAGGTGCTGCATCGTCCCCTCATCTCCCTGCCCAGCCAGAGGCCTCCAGTGGTGCGAGCCTCCCCGGAAACGGCTGGCCCCCAGAAATGAACCCTGACCAGCTGTCTCGATTTTTGATCTCCTGGGGGAGGGCGGGAGGACTGGTGATTCCCGACCCCCAAGCCCCTCCGTCCCCGGGGCCGCTGAGCCAAGGAGCGGGGCGGCGGGGCACCCTCACGCCGCTCTGGCCCCAACCAAACAACTGACACAGCAAGGAGGGGATGACGGCGGCAGCGGCGTGGCGAGCAGCACCGCTCCCACGGCATCGTCCTTTTGGGGTGGGGGGGAGGGTTGTTTCGTTTCCCACACCTGTTTCATTCCCCCGCTTCCCCGGTATTTCCAAGCCTGTACTTGCAAAGGGACAGTTTGGCACTTGAACTTTTTGCTGCCGGGTGCTGCGTGACATCCCCGGTGCCAACACCAGAAGACAAAAGAAAGAGCAAGAGGGAAAAAGGATATGAAGTTAAAATTTTTTTAACCTTTTTTTTCTCGTGAAGAGTCCATTCCATGTCTTTCTTGACAATAAAGTGAAAAAAACAATAAAATGGGGAGAAATGTTGAGGAATAAAATTTTTTTGCCTCATTCCCACCCCACTTTTTTCTTCTTTTTTTGTTCTTTTTTTCTTTTGGTTTTCTTATTTTTATAACTTTCTTTTGCACCTTTAAACAAAAAATGTACCTGAGAAGAAGTTCCGAGGAGCCCCCATCTGCGTTTTTGTGTGTGTGCTTCATTACAAGATTCCAAATCGACTTGCACCTTTTGAAATCACCGATGATGTGAGAAAGAGAGGAAGAGGAGAGAGAAAGCGAGAAAGAGAGAAGGAAAAGGAAAGGGGAAAGAAGAAAAAAAAGAAAAAAGTGAGCTGATGCTCACTTTAAATGGAGAAGGCGTCTGCATTGCACATTTGCCACGGATTTAGTTGATTTATATATATAATATATTATATAACTTTTTTGGCAAAAAAAGCACTATTTTTATGGGACATTTTGTGTAGTATCTGAAGAGGGATTGTAATGTTTAAAATGTGTTATGGTGCTAAAGTAAGTTGGAAGGGAAAAAACCCAGAAATAGCAAGGGAGGGTGGGGAGGGAAGACAAGATAGCGAATACTGAACTTGAAATTTTAGCTTTTCGTTTTAGGAAAAGTGTGATAAATGTGTTTCTTTTCTCTTCTGAAATATAGCTTGGTCATGACCATATGAGCTAGTTGGCTGTTACTCATGTACACAGATGCACGCACACACAGAAATACATCAACACGCATCCTTTTTTTAAAAAAAAACAACAACAAAACAAAACAACAAAACCACCGCAATTTAGAACTAAAAGGGAACTGTTCTAGAGACAAACTATTTTGAATGGTGAAGGTGTTGCCAGTTACAACTCAAGGCCCTGCTTCTGCACGGACCCTTGGCAGAGCTTGGCTTCCTGAGCCACGGGGAACCTACCGCTTCTTCCCCACCCTCACAGCGCCGATGCTCCAGCGAGTGGGCAGGCGGGCAGCCCTCGGCACCAGGCCCCTGCAGAAGCAGCAACAGTTCCGCGCCCTGCCATCTCCTTTTCCTTCTTTTGTCCTTTGCGTCCTTCTCGCCGGACCCTCCTCTCCCTGCCCCACGCCTCCCGCCTTCCTCCTCTCTCGCTCCCCTCCCAGGGGCTGTGCAGGAGCGGGGCTGCACCAGGGTGGCTGCAGGGCTGGGACCGCTGCTTGGGATGGGGGGGAAAGGCAAATCTCTGGCTTGAGGCTTGAGACTCGAGACTCAGTGAGTGTATGGGTTTGAGAGGTGGGCAGAGGGCTGTAAAATAGGTTGGGTTTAAAGTAATATATATTATCTGTCTAGGAACCGTAAAAAAGGGGGAATCAATTACATCTCCCTGATATACTCTCACTTGCTAATAAAATGGGGACACTCTGTTAACCAGTTCTGTACTTGCTTTGTCTTATATATCCATACATTTAAAACATAAAAAAAAGACTACTTGAATTGTATTCTATTTCGTGGTTTGGAGGGGAGGGCTAGGGGGAGTTTTGAGAGGGGGAGGATTTTAATGTATAATCCTTTTGTTTGTTATTACCTTGCAATGTTGAGCCATGAAGCCTTTGTTTAAAAAAAATGGCACTGCAATACACAACAAAGAAAATCCTTTATTTATTTTATTAAATATATATGGAAAAGAATGAAAATCAGTCCAAATTAAGAAGGGGGGGGGAAGGGAAGTGGGTGGGGTGGGAAGGCAAAATTTAAACAGAGCAATTGCAATTTTTTTTTTCCTTTTCATGTGTCTTTTTTTAAAAGAAACTTAGTTTTTATTTTTTAAAAAGAGAAGTAAAAGCTTTCCTGGATGCTTTGTACCAAAAAAGAAAAAATTAAAAAAAAAAAAAAAGAAAATCTGTTAAGCAAATAAATATCCATCCAGAATATGAAGCCTGACTTTTACTTTTCATTTATTTTTGCTCCTGGGGTGAGAGTTGGGTGGGAAGAAGGCCACGCCAAGCACCACTCCTTGTGGAGAAACAGAGTGCATTGCAGCTCCTCTTTTGGAGCTCAAAAAACTGCAAGAGGGGGTAAAGTGCCCTTAAACACAACCATGAAACCTCAGTCTTGTGGCAGATACCCCCTGAAACCACCAAGGTAAATATATGCCCAGTGATTCTTGGCCAGATTTGGGGATGTTTCCCAGCAGCTGTTGTGATTTGCTCAGCTTCTACCAGTTTGGGCTGTTCCCAGAGACTTGAGAGCTGGATGGGAACTGAGAGGGTAAAAAGGAGAAAAAAATGTCTTATTTAGGTTATGTTTCCTAATAGGTATTGCTTGTGTGGTTTCTCAAGGTAGAAAAAAACTTCTCTTAAGTTTTTTGGAATACTAAATAACTGCTTTTCATCACATATTACCATCATGCACCACTGTAAATGAGAAGTAAAATACTGCAGTTCCAATTTGGCAGTAGAGCAACTGGGGTGAAAACAGTGCCTAAGCATCCCTAATCTCACAAATCTGTGCAGCTCCACTGCCATGGCAAAGACCTTTATCTTGCTGTGGGGTAAGGACCTCACCAAGCCCAACCTCCTGCCCCAGATGATTTGGGCTGGAAAAGATTTTCCGCCTCAAAGTGGCATTGCAGATTTAGGCCCTTAAAAATACATGTTCTAAAACAGTTACTTTTAAAATTTTGCAACAAGCAAAAAAAAAATTATTATTTTTTCACAGAAAGTTTTTTCTCTTGGGATTTTTGTGGTTGATCAGGAGGGGGGTTGTACAGATGCAGGGCTGGCTGTTTCCTCTGGACATGTACTTTATTGCAGGTCAAAAAAGGATGTGTCTGCCTTCCTGTACCTGTCCCAAGACTTGCCACAGACCTCTGGTTTTCTTTGCATTAAAAGATGTCCCTATGAAGGGTGAGGACTGACTTCACTGTGGCTTCTGTTTGTCACTGCTGGAAATTTTGCCTTTGGGAGCTTTGGTCCTTTTCTGTTCTTTGCTGTGTAAGCTACTGTCATGGAGGCATTTAGAGACAATTAAAAAGCAAGAAAAACTTCAGCCAAATCTCTTGCCTGCATCCCCCAGGGAGCAATACAGCAATGCTGGAAGCACCATGAGGGTGATGATGATGCTTCCAAGCATGGTTATTCTTAAACCCTCTTTTCTGCCTTATCATGTCAGGGACCACCACGGGGCCAGACCAGAACAGCTCATTTTTTTGGAGATAAATCAGGAGACTTTTCAAAATGTGCCAACTTGCCTTTTGGCTTGTCCAGGACTGCCTTTACTTGCAAGGAGAGACACAAGCTGCCTCTGAGCATGATCCTGGCCAGAGGGTGGGAGTCTGGATGAAACTGGACCTTTGCTTTGTCTCAAATGTCTTTTGTTGCCTGCAAAGCCTCTTTGCAGGTTGGCAGACAAATCATGGGCTTAACTTGGAAATCTCAGACTGCGGGCTTGAGAACAAACCAAAGATGCCATGTTTTCTCTGGTGGATGGGCAGAATTGACTCTGATTTTTGTACTGATGCCTTTATACACAGGTGCAGTTCCAAGTGGTTAGCTGTTGGATTTCAGAAGCATGGGAGGCTGCAGCAGCGACAGGCAGTGATCCCTGGGGAAGGAAAACTGGCAGATATGGGCTCCCAACACATCTCCATGACCAGCCCAGCTGGTTCAGGGACCTCCACCCACTGCTCTACTGACATGCAAGAGGGTGGGGAGGCAAAGGATGGTTTCAGCAGAAAAGTCCTAAATGCTTCCTAGAGGCCCAGGAACAACTGGGAAAGTTGATGCCACATCCTAGTCCAGCACCAGCTCTGGCCCCTAAGTCTCACCATTATCATGTAACTCTTCAGGCAGCAAAGGGCAAATGTTTTTTGCATAAAGCATCTCTTCAGAGGGCATTTTCTCAGGTGATAAATGCGGGGATACCGGGAAAGAGGGAAGGTCCAATTTGCTGTAGAGAAATGGCCACAGTGTTTGCAAGGTATGTAAATCAGTGTAGCTGGCTTTGTCGGATAGGGGGAGACACAAGTGGAAAAAACACCACCAGGTAACACATACTTTCCCCTTTTTCACCTCATTTTACATTATTTCTTAGCTTTTTTTTTTTCCCTTTTAATCCAGAATGCAGCTGAGCTGTTACCTAGCTTTCAGTGAGTCATACTAGTGCCCATCAGGATGGACTGAGCCTCCAGACTGGTTCTGCTACCTCTGTATCTCATAGCAGCTTCATCCCTTTAATCATGCCTGCTCTCAAAAGTCTTTCAGTGATGTACCTCACTGCACTAAATGAAGGACCTAGCTGCAGTAGATGAAGGGAAGAACCATGTTTGTTGTTTTTTGTAAAATACACCTGTTTTCTTTGTTGCAGTACATATTGTCCACTGATGATTTATATGGCTTTGGGGAGACCTGGGAAAGGTACTGCTGTATCGTGGATTATTTCGCTTGTGTGCACTCTGCAGTAGGCAAGACTCAGATGCTTTCTGCACCTTTTGTAGTTCTCATTCGTAATGCAGCATCAATGAAGCAAAGCACTTATAACAACCTTCTAGATGGCAGCTGGTATCTTTTCTCCCTCCACTTTATTTATTTTCTGAGGAGCAGATGAGTCATAAAACACCCCGAGGCTGGGGTAGCACAGCAATTCCACAGCTCCCGGTGTAGGCAAGGGGGGAACCCTGGTTTGCAAAGATAAATAGACCTCATGTCCCAGGAGGGGTCTGTCATAGCCACCAAGGTGCCAGGGTTGGCTCTCTCCCCCTCAGGTTGCTGAAGGATGCTCTAAGTGTCAGCAGGCAGCATGCACTGGCAGACATGACTTCAACCTACTGGAAAGGCACAGGTCCTCACAGGAATCTTGGCCTGCTTCGCTGCTGCGCTCCCAGCTGTGCATGGCCCAAGGAATGCACTTGCTCATTAAAATCATGTCAGTGTTTGCAGAGAGCCCTGAGAGAGCCTCTTTCCCTGCCACCTTCTTGTAACTGCCAAAGGGGACTGAAAGCTGAGGTTTCCAATCTGTCAGGCTCTGGCTCAGAGACCAGCAATAGCCTGAAGGCAGGAAATTTCTGAACTGGGGTGTTCTTTGACTTGGGCAGCATGGGAGGTCACACTTGACACACAAAATGGGCTGTTCTAGTCTTAATCTGGCTGCTTGCAGTTCTGGGTTTGGATTTCCAGGACAGGCACAGCATGCCTGATCAGAGGTGAGGACCATGGTAGAGCATCCATCTCCAAGTGTGTTCTCCAAAAAGCAACACAGTGAGCAGCACTGACTGGAAAGAATTAAGCTTATAACAGTCCTGGATGGAGAAAAGACACTATTCAAGTATCTGAGTAATTCACGGGTAGAACAGCAGAGACAAGTGCAGAACTTCCAGCCATAATATACCTGTTTCACTTTTCAAAATTACTAGAAATAAATTCAGCTCATACTGAATTTTCAATGCTCTTGCATCTATTTCTTGAACATGTTTGTGCTTTTTGTTGGTCAGCTTTAGAAAGAGTATAGCTCACAATTTTAAGGCAGTGAGGTGAAATAATACCAATGATTACAATATAAAACAATGTATTTGCATGCTTTTCCATGGGAGAAGTACTGGCACAGTCTCTTTGCCTCCCTGTCCTCCCACCAGCTTGTTTAGATGAAGGCTGCGCTCCTTCTGTACAAGACCACATCCTTCAGCTGTGTCAGACTTGAAAGGAACTGATTTAGGAAGTCAATCAAAAGCCCAGGAGCTTATTATAAAGCTTTTTATTGCAAACAAACACTAAAAAAATTATTTATTAAT